TTTAGAGTATACTGCAAGGCCAATGCGTGCCACTCATACTGAAAAGAATATGCGAGAAATGAAGCTGCGTTATGAATAGCAATATTTTGCGCAGTTGAAACGGTACAGCAAAAGAAAAATAGCATAATGCAAATGATACGACAGGATGAAAAGAAAGGCAGCAAATTAGGTTCAGGATGACCTTAACTCAGGCGCGAATTCGAAAGCACGTGCGATAATCTGGCTGAGTGGTACAATGGTGACATTAAAATTGATGCGTGCGCTCAGAAAGACTCTTTTGTCGATGGGCTTCTCTTCAGTCTTTCGTGCCGGTCCTCTGTGTAGGAGATTGCACAATTATCGTAAATGAACGATGAAAGTACCAGGTGGGAGACAGCAACTAATATTACCGGCGACCTGTATCACGCTGAAGTTACATATAGTGATAGGCTACACACTTGAAAATCAAAATAGCCCAAACAACGCTAAACCGATTGAAGAGGGCCCGCTTACACAGGGACATATAAACCGAATATCTGGGAGTAAGCCCTGCATCGGTGTTTATTTTTGTTTGGTCTTCTTTAGTACACACTCTAAAGAGAAATGCCAGGCACGCAAACCTAATCCTCCAGGGAGTTCGGGTGTTCACTTAAGGAAACTGTCCTCGACGGGAATTTTTCCACACTTGCCAGCATCCCGTATAACAAAACCACTTTGTCCACGTTACACATAAATGGATATTTTTACGCGAAATGTAACAAGATATTACTTGTTACGCGTTTATTTAGCTGCATTTTCTTTTCATGATATATTATCACTTCATGTTATCACAACTTCTTATTACGTAAGATCTCATATCTGGGCTACATTTCGCTGGAAAAGAACAGCATGTCCACAATTGTCGTTTAAGAGTTTCCGGGCTTCTTGTGCACTTCCTAGAGAGATAAAGGAGAAGCCTTTTCACCTTCCTCACTCCTTAATTGACAGTTTTCCTCGAATGCTTTCCTTACCGCTAATTGAATTATTTTCTGAATGTTCTCGTGTTTTTCATTCTCCACGAGCCACACAGATCGTCACTTGACTTGATGTCAAATGAATCGAACGACTTGCTTAGGCGATGCTGCCCCGCCGCGGTGGTCTAGTGGCTAAGGTACTCGGCCGCTGACCCACAGGTCGCGGGATTGAATCCCGGCTGCGGCGGCTGCATTTCTGATGGAAGCAGAAATGTTGTAGGCCCGTGTGCTCAGATTTCGGGGCACGTTAAAGAAACCCAGGGGGTCGAAATTTCCGGAGCCCTCCACTACGGCGTCTCTCATAATCACATGGTGGTTCGGGGACGTTCAACCACACATATCAAATAATTAGGCGATGCTTCTGTTTCTGCGGTTGGTGAATTATAGCTCAGCCCATTGAAACAGCTTATTGGCTTTCAATCAACCACTCACTGTGCAATTCACGTGGTGTGATGCCAGGGGGATTCCATGCTTCTGGCACTCTATACCGCATCTTTTGACGCGACTCCTTGCCCGACATGACGAGTGTATACGAACTACTGTCGTGAAATGCTTGACTGCCACCCAGAATAACTAGGTTTGATTGCGGCTTCTACTCTGGCTCTTGTTATTTTTGTTGTGGTTGTGTGGCTTGTTAGCACTACACATCAAGGCTGGGGTCCCACGAAACACCTTTAGGACTATGGCTTATCAAGTTATGCATTTCCACGTCACTTAATTATACGGAGGCCACATGAATAATGGCGCTGCTGTTCACGAAACCTGTCATTAGTTTGCGCATACCTAATTTAATGGCATCAGTTCAATTATAGCAAAGTGGTGACAGCCATTCACTGGGTCCCTATTGTGCATGGCTGTTGCGCACTGACTGAACGCTATATACTTGACCTAGACGACGCCTAAAGTTAAAGTCGACAACTTGTCAGGAGCTCAAGAAAGAGCTCGCTCGACGTAACCTTCAACCAGCTCTCACCACCCATTTTAAAGCCTAGCCTATACCGCAGAGGCTTGTTACACTCTAAGCCAAGCACACGTGGACACCGATCAACGCAGAGGCAGGGACGGACGGCCGAGCGGTCGCCTCGCAACAGGGCCTGTAATTAGCGAGAAGACAGGCCGCGGTCGACACGCCGCGTGCGACGAAGTGCCGGGCCGCGGACGTGTCACCCGCGAGCGGCAGAAGCCCTCGGCAGGAAGAAGCCTCCGAGTGTCGGGCGTCTGAATGCCGCAGGGCGTTTCCGCGGGTCGTGTGCGTGCGACCTGCCTCCGTGTCGCGTCACACACGCCTCGGGGTGAGAAGGGCTTGCGGGCGAGAACGCAAATGAAGGTGTCCTTCCGGAGACAACTTCACCCACGCTTCTCCTTCGTCTCGCCTGCTGCGGTCGTCTTGGATGCCCCTCCTCCTCGTTCTGTGGCCCGCATGACGTGAGCACGGTGTTGATGGCATTGCTTGTTTCTTTTGCCGCGCTTCGTAGGCACTCTTGACAGCCAGACATCGGACCACCTCAGTGACTGTTTTCTATATTACTTTCTTAAAGGTTTCTCAGCGTTCGAGACTCTCTGGATTCGTTCCGGCTGCTCGAAGCGCGGCGTTCAGCCTTTCAAAACACGGTCCGGTGAATGAAACGGAATAAAGAAGCAACACGCCTGAAGAACTTCTGAGCAAGTTGGTACTTAGATTGGGGGTGTATGCTCATTACTCGCGCATTTTGTTTCTACGGGCGATAAAGCGATAAAAAGTTGTTGAACACGGCGCGCTGCGCACCTGCCACAAATGGTGGGACATTTCGACATCTTCGGAGACCTTTAGAACCAATCGACTGTAGAGCCTTTCATCGGCAATGCAGTATACGTTTCCTTGAGTCGGTCAAGTAAGCGAACACAAGCAGAGAGACAATGAAATTCCAAAAAAGATAATCATATCGTATGGTCAATTAGCCCATTTTTTCACAAGGACAGAGGAAAAATAAAGACGCGTTACTCACTACTAACAAAAATGACGATTTAGACATGTGACTAGATTCATTAGAAAAGTGAGCTGACAACTGATTTAATTGGTACTGTGCAAATACTGACATATTCAAGAGTGTGCTACTACTACTACTCCTACTACCGCTGCTAACTGTTCTTACTACTACTACTACTACTACTACTACTACTACTACTACTACTACTACTACTACTACTACTACTACCAACACCACTACTACTGCTGCTACTACTACCACCACTACCACTACTACGCTCTGGAGTGAACGTTGGTAGAATAAATATATTGGACAAGGGTGAGTGTCTGAGCCACGCAAACAGTGCCTCGTATGATGTAGTGTCATGGTTTGTCTTTAGAGGACGTTCGCAGGAAACTGAACTTCTATTTTTGACTGGTACCATCGTGGGCCACTCGCTGATAGTTTCAGGAAGAAAGGTGCCTTCGGCCAGTACCATTTTATGCTTAACTAGAATGACAGCGATGATACTTTGTATTAACTAAATAAAAAAAAAGTTTGAACAAGACACAAGGCAAAAATAAAATGCCTGCATCTCCACTGAAGGGAATCCAGATGAGTGCTTGACGCGAGGCCGTAAGGTTCATAATGTCTATGTCGAAGTCGCCGACGATAGCATAAAGGCTTTGTGCTTGTAGGTACTTTATATTGTTTTGCCACTATTATGATTGACTTTAGTAGACTTTCAATTTTTTTTTTCTGTCTCACATATGTTTCAACTATGCCGCACGTTACCTGAGGGTTGCCCCATATAACGTAGCCATGACAACTGACACTGGACAAGCCTGGCAATAAATGTGCTTCGCCATGCTTCACCCCTAAAATTGAACATATCACAACTAGTCGAACAACAACCTTAATCTCTTGAGTCACTGCTTGGAAATAGCAACTCTTGTCTTCGTCAAGATGCTTTGGTGAAGGTTAGATCCCTCGGGCAAACGATGGGTTCAGTGACATTCCCTTTTCGATAGATCGTACTCGATAAATGAAGGCATGCTTTATAAATTTATTGAGAGCTTTATTAGCTGAAGTACTCGTGTGCTTTGGTTTGCTCGATTAGAAGCACTTGGTGGTGAAGGAAACATGTTCTCTCAACGGCATACATTTTTGCGAGGCCAGAAATTGAAGTGGCGTGGTATGTTCGGTATAAGCAGTCGCGAATAATTTGTTGGGCAATACTGAATGAAGCACTGCATGTTCACCTAACACCCTTTGCATCGTAAGTATGATAACAGTGCTAAGTGATGTTCACTTATAGAAGCCACAGCACACTTGTATTGATTGTCACAGCTTTTGTAACAACTTTTGTCATAGTTCATTGCCACATCTTTCGGAGTTCAGGAATTACTTTTTTTTTTGCACCAGTACTGGAAACTGTGCGTAGAAGTTCTCGGTCACAGTGTATGACGTAGAAACTAGCTCTCAAATGAAGTGGTAGTCGTGGTACGCAACATTGTTTTCGCGTTAGCCAGTAAAACACAAAAATCGCGTGAAAGGGCTGTACTACAATGCGCGTGACAGTGCCTTTTGTGCCGACAATTTTTTCGTTGCTCGATGATTCTTCCATCATAGATGTGTACTCGTAGAGATGCCGACAGCCAACCATCCTTCAGTGAAACTATCTTGTCCAAGCAAGCCGACTACCGCAACGTATTGGTTGCAGCCACTTCACTTCAAAAGAAACTATTATTATATGAAGAGATGGTTAGTTTGCCACCAATAAACTTAAAAAAAAGGCTGTCTATAGTCTTAAAACGACTCAGCTCAAGTTGAGAGTGTGCATAATCACTGTGATTAGTTTCATATTGCTGTAAAAAAAGGAAGCGCACATCCTTCCTATCTTCCAAGAAAAGGTCATGCAGCGTCATGAAAGATTGAAAAGTTGGCATACTTTCGAACCACAGCTGCAAAAGCGAATGACATCCGCCGACGGTTATGTTACAGTTCGGAGCGATGCCCCTACGCGATGACACGTTCCGCCAAGACATTGTGGCTCACCCACCTTAGGTTTCCTGGCCGTCAGCCGGCGCGAGGGCTCGTATCCAGTGTGCTCGGGGCCCTGGCTCGTCGCATCGGGGCAACGCTGTCCTTCAGGCGTCATCTGACGATCAGCGACCGCGTCGTCGTCGTCGTGACAATCCAAGCGCACACACGCCCCCGGCGGCCAGCGCGTACGCTCGGCAAATGAGGAAGGACCCGGGCGACTTCAGACGACCGTGCCTACGACAACCACGAACTGCGGCACACGCGGTCGGCAGGTGTGGTCGCACGACGTCGACCGCAGTTGCATCGCACAGGGCTTCTTCGTCTCGGGAAGACCGGGAGCCTTGGGATGCTGAGAGACAGGCTAGCTAGGCGAGAACGGGCTGCGAGCGCTTGCGTTAGGGCTTGCTATATATAAAGCACTGCATGAAAACGAAAGTAAGTGAGACCCGTTGCACCCGGCACGGACACCGGCGCGCGCGCAAACACACACAGGACACAGGCTGTAAGGTCTCAATGCGTGCGCGGGTCCCGTTACGAGACTACTACGACCGCCGCCACGGCACAGCGCCAGAGGTGTGCGGCGAGCATTTTGACTCTGTCGAGATGCGGCCGGCTTGGTGAGTTCTCCGGTAGATCCTCTCCTCACCTGCCTCCTTCTCCCCACCCCCTCTCTCTCTCCATCTCTCGCCCGTAGGTCTGTTATTACATATTTCTTTCTCTGCTTCGTTTGCCCCTCGGCTCTGTGGTCCGTAGCGCCTCTCTCGAGCACCTCTCCCTTCTTTCTAATCCGTCCTCCTTCCCTTTTTCTCCAAGTGTTGTGGACCACTGCTTTGCCCGCGTGGAAGAAAAAGGAGAAAGAAACGAACGGTGCGCGCGTGCGTGGACACTGCTGTTACTGCTGCGAGGAGAAACAGAGGCAACGAGGTTGTGAACACAGTGAATACTATCATCCCGAAGCCGGAGACCCGTTCTCGGCCGCTGCGTTCCGCACGTCTTGCCGCTGCGGCTACAAACCGCCTGATCCAAGTCCTCACTGCTGTCTCATCTTCCACACCACGCCACATTCGGCGTGCTTTTCCCCTCCTGTTTCGACGCTTTCCACATGTCTTTGTGCTTTTAGTTCCAAGCTGGCGCTCATCCTGGCCGCTTGCTGCGTTGTTGTGTTTGTTGCCGTCACCTCTCGGCGCTCCATCTACGCTTTTCCCAACGTCAACTTCGTCGGATACGAGCGTGCATTCCTGTGCTCGCCTGTCATCGGCTGCGCCACGGAGACACGCTCGGCGGCAAATTGCACGTGCTTTTCGCATGCGGATGCGAGAGAGCGTCGGCGTGTGTTTTTTTTTCTATATTTAACGCTCACGCTTCGCACCCTGCCAATGTAGTTCCCGCCGATGGCGTCCCTTTCCTCTTCCTCCTCAACCTCTTCCGCGTTTAATGTTTTCTACTTTCATACAGGCTCTGCGTGCTGTCGTTTTAGGAATATCTGCAGGCAGGGTGCTTTTAAAAAGATCCTCGCACGGAAAGGGGTGACTTTATCTCGTAAAATGGTGCAAAATTTATTCGCCCTTCCCTATGTTTTTTTTTTCTTGTTGATGGTAACAAGCTTGTGCGCCCAATCCCGATGCATGTTGCAGAAATGTCACAGTACCACGATAACACGTGCTACATCATGCAGAGATGGTCAAAACGTCGAGGATACTTTAAACACTTTCCTTTTGCTTTCGCTGATTTGTGCACTGTCGATACCATTGTCTCTTGGTCCGCTTTGAGTGAGTCTTATCCCATTAAAAAAAAACTTTTCATGTAACAGTCCCCGGCTGTACTCTCGAGTGATTTCTGGTCGTAATTGCCCCACTTCGTCATTTTCCCGTACTTGATTGTAAGGCGAAGATGTCACTTTCCGTTGTGTCCAGGAAGGAAAAAGAATCTCCGTATGTGATATTGACCCGAGAGTTGACTTTAGGCAGGAAAAATCTAGAAGCAAACTTACGCGTGATATGTGAGTAAATGTTTCGTTATATGTGTTATTATCATTGTATTGGTCTGCGCACTATGCGACGATATAGGCAGGTGCATTAGAAAATTATTTAATGTTCTCACTAATGGCATTATTGCGTAAATACTACGACATTATAGCACGCAATGTTTGAGACAAACACAGAAATATGTGAGCACCTATAGAATAGAGTCAATCCAATGCGCGGCCAACACCCAGCCGTTATCCGACTGCTGGGTATTTTACGAGCTTCTGTAATACCTCTTGTCAACACGTGCCGGCTTCCAACCTGTTCACGCACCTACATCCCGTGGCAGCTACAACTGTATACCTAACGCGGTGAGCCGACATACTTTGATGGACTGTAACAGTGCTTACTTCATAAATACTAGAGTTTCGACTAGTGTAAAGCGGCCAATTGAATTCGGTCCGTGGCCTCTTACATTAGGCTGTCCGTCATCCAATTCCAATAGGCCTAGTTTCTCTCCTTCTCCTCTCCTAAGATCAGAAATCGTCCGTGCCGTTGAAATAAGATTCCGACCGTGGTGCTGACCTTTTGGCGTGCAACTAAATAGAACGACCGCCACCGGACTCGTCAAATTGTAAGTGGTGGTCCACGCCTTCCATCGCGTCGAAGGAAGCGCCAGTGGTGTCATTCCAGCAATGCGTCGGCCTTGTTTCTTTCCGGGGCCTTCGAGTAATGAAGACGAATAAGAGGGGGATAGAGCGAGAACTAAACGTCTGTTCGCGTGACATACATATGACGAATGTAATCCGGTCGGGCCATCCATCATCACAAAAGGGGTGTCTTCTTCATCTTACCAACAATTTCGCCCAGTGCCCGGAACGGCTGATCAGATGCGCGCCAGCTCGGGACTCTCCGAACCGTCATCATCTGCGCAAATCGAACGCGTCCCTCTGTCAGTGTCTGCAAGGAGGAGGACGCATCGAACTGATTGATAACCTCGCGCCGCTAGACGGCAGTGCCTGTCCTGCACGTGGTGAAAAGCACACCTCGGCGGCGCGCGCCTTTTGCGGGTCATAAAGGGAGAACTGGGTCAAAGTGTCTGTCGACGGGAACGACGCGAAAAGAAGAAACCGGGCTCTCCTTGCATTTTCTTTTTCTTTTCCGGTGGTCCCCATCTTTTTTTTATTGCATTTGCAGGACAGCGGAACCTCGCAACGGCCAACTGCCACCGCCCCAAGCGCACAGCCGGTGTGGCAAGAATGCTACAGGAGTGCCAGCGAGTGCACGTGTTGCAGTGTTGCGAGAAATGTGTTATAGTCCGTTCTACACGAACCAATGAGCTTTCTAAGTGAGCACTTTTTTTTTTTGTTTGTGCTATCCGGCCTCTTCACTCACACGGCGAAGGAGACCGTTGACCTTGATTCCTGCTTGATACAGATGACGTCGTGTTTTTAGAGTTCTTTCTGTTTATTGATTTTTGCTGGCTCTGTCATGAGTTTCTAACTGGAATGCGTTTGCTATCAAAGGCTTGCGTGGTGCCATGAATTTTAGCACGTGGCACCCTGCGAACGACGTAAGAAAGAGAGAGACAGAAAGAGAGAAAACATCTATTGAATTAAGCTTGCGAGTAAAGGTGGGAGGGTCCCTTATTCCAGGAACAAAGGACTGTATTTTAATCGAAACAGAAAGACATGAAGTAAGATCCTATCTTTTTCAAGATTGGCTGCACGCTCCAACAAACATGGCTCCCGTTTGCACTTAAAATGAAAATGCCATCATTTATATATTAAATATTTTTTTGGCGTGGGCAATGCTCGTATAGACATGGTTTTCTTTGATATCGTGCTGATTAGATATCCTGGTTTGTAGTTCTTCCCTAATACGTGTTCCAGTTAAAACGAAAAGGCCCGATTGCGTAGGTGATACAGTATTTAATTTCATTTTATTTTACCCTCAGGACCAATGTATTACCCAGGGGAGTGGTTAACAATACATACAAAAGTAAAACAAAAACAGAGCAGCAAAAGTGGTTAGGTAATACAAGAAATAATTGGTCAGTTAAGTCCTGGAGTGATGATGTCCGTATTGGCCAAGCGAAACTTTGAGTGGTCCTTGATAGAAACGATAGTGCCGGGAAGGTGCTTCTATCCTTAAGACGTCCAGGGAATAAATGATTCGTGACATGTTCTGGTACGGCAGTGCATTATCCCAATCATATGGACATGATCAATGTGATAAGAAATGTAAGAAGAAGATGATAAAAGGTTTAAACGCAGATAGGAATTGTAGAAGTATAAGTTATGAATTAAAGCGAGGTGAAAACACTTCCATGCTTATTCATTATTAGGTTGCCGGCGTTTTGGTCCGAGTGATGAGTAATGAAAGTTTTGTGTCAGACTTACTGAGAAATACTAGTGAAAAAAAATCACTGCCCGAGCACTCCGAACAATGGTAAATCAGCGAAAGCTTAATCGTGTGGCCCCGGTGTTTAGCAGTGGGTTAGACCAGACGTGGCACTGAAGCGTTTCGCAATTATTGGTTACATGTTCGTGCATATTAATGATGTCAGGCACACGTTTGGCTTGCGTTTACCCTGCACAGTCTTTATTTCACACGCCGCACATTGTGCCTCGCATGGTCATGATCATGGAAGGATGCAATGGGCGGCTAAATGCATTTCGCAAAGCGTTAATCACGGTGGTTGTTCTCGAACCACGTGAGGTCAGAGACGTCGCCGCCGAAGCCAATGTGGCGCTCCAGAAAGTACCACTCGAAAGCGGACGTTCGCCCCGCTGAACGCACTCCCGCAATCATCAAATTGACGCCGCAACCCCGTGTTGTTGCAAGCGTTTGACATCGCGAGCTAACTTGACGGAGCGGTTTGTAAGATCCACCCATTCCCATTCGCGATATAGCGTGGCTTGGAAGTGCAGCCGGATCATCGGTGCGTAGTTGCTTCCGGCACTCTGCTTCCGAGGCCTTGTTCTTTTGTAGTTCTTATGCCAGTACAACGCCATCGGCACCGCGAATGCGAGCTCTCTCACGTCTCCCCTGTCCGCACTCTTCTAGATTTGTCCGTGCCATACACATGTGGAAGGTTTCAGGAGAAACTTGTGCGCGCGTGCTCAAGGCCTTGGCCGCGACGGGATGAACGACGTCACTCGCAACGCAGCCAATGACGCGCGTGCTTAGGTTCGACGCTGCGAATGACGTAACTGATAAGACAACCAACGGAGACCGCTCGAGAAACCGGTGCCGGACGACTTTTCGTTTCTCCTAGCCATATACAGCTTTCGCTGTAATATATAACAACGGGAAGCAAGCACAAATAACGCGGTCCGTACCTGCCAAAACAGCGACAGCTTATTCGTCGAAGGTATCAGTGAAATAGATTTGATTGACTTTTATTTGTGAATATATAAATGGCATCGAGTAAGTGGAAACTACGGCAACATAACCGCATAGAAGCATCATCTAAAAAAGCCATTGAAGAGAGATGATAATTTATTGTTTAGAAGGCTTTTATGATTACAATGACTATTTGTTTAATGTGATCGCCACCATGATAGGACACGTCACCAATAAGAGCCAAAACATCGTCTCAGTGACTCATAC